AACAATCAAAATAAAACAATGGCATCTTTGTATCCACTTGGCGTGTGTGACTGGTGACGCTCCACAGCTGGGCTACCTGGAAATGCTGGTTAGTGGTCTTGCGTGCTTTCTCTCCCACCTACTGAAAACCATCTTTCCATAAAGAGGTCCGAGCACTGGGCAGCCTCTAACTTGACTGCAGCGGTCACCCTTCCCGTGGTGGTGGTGGGGGGCTTGAGGCTGTTAGAATACAACTGAATTCCACCCCACTACTCCCCTCCCCAGCTGTAACGGTTAACTGGAACGGGCAAACCCTTCAGAGGGTCTTGTGCACCCTCTAGAATTGTTATACAACAGGCTTCAGGCCACATATTTATCATAAAATTTATTTGCCGTTGGTTACTTTCTTGAAGTTCTTGGGTTTTCGATGATGACTCTTGAATTTCTTCTTTAAAGGGCCTGACTGTTTCTGTAGAGAGAAAAAGTTAAATCAGCTTGTTTCCAAAACCCAAATCCAGCCCTGCCCAAGATAGCTCAAAGAGAAACTGAGTGTCGCCTCCTTTACCAACAGACAGAAGCAGCACAGCCCTGGTCAGAGCCAGCCAGGATGTCTCCTTGCCCTATCCCGCAAGTCAGCATTTCTTTCTCCGGCAGACAGACGGTTTCGTTGGATACAGTGACAGTCTCTCCATAGAAACGAACCTAAACTTCATCCAGCCTTAACTTTCCAGTTTGATATGGTTATAAAGGATCCAGCCCCTTCCTCGGGGACTGCCTTAGAGAGTCAAAGGTTTATCCGTCTTTATGCACGTAACATCTGCCTGCTTACCAAACTGAGAAGGATCAGGGTACGTCCTGTAAGGCAGGACCTGGCCAGCTCCTCAAAAGAGGCAGAAAAAGGGTCTAGAAGGACCCCGTGACTTCAAAAGGGTCCAACTAGTGTTCGTGTGTTTATGGGGAGGAAGATTACAGAACCCACAAGACACGTTTCAGCCTCCCTGTTAAAGAGAGCGTGCAGCAGGATCCCATCGAAGATGAGCTACTTATACAGGCAGGAACATCCCTAGGATAAACGTTTACTGGTAGCAATTCACCCCTCAGGATGCGAGTCAGTGGCTGGCACGGGGGGAAAGTCTGTTCTGAACAGCTTGGCACCTTCTGCGGGTTCTCGGACGGGAACAGGTCAGACAAACACCTACAGGATGGGATCTCGGTTGCACGCTCCCCTCCCGCTGGGCGCGGCAGCGTGACTCCCACCTTTCCTCTTTTGTTGCCAACTGCTCTGCTGACATCCATTCTTCCACCATCCTCATCCTCGCTGTCTGTTGCAAAGTCATCGCTGCCCTTTGTGGTTTGTGGTGCTGCTGGGCTTTTTTCTGGGAAGAGTGCGGCTAAAACACAAAGATTTAGCTCAGGATCAGTTCCCTGTGCGGGTAGGCTCTGCCTCCCCCTAACTTTACTTTGCGGGCATCTTAAAGGTGATTTGCCAAGCTGCTTCCAGTCTCCGAGCATATACACGTCACTACTGAAATACCTGGGAAATAAACACACTGGTGTTTCCTCAGAAACGCGCCTGGTGCTCTCGCTAGCCCCGTTCTGGGAACTGTTCGGCACAGGCAGCTCTGCGTCCGCCCTCCTACAGCAAGGCAGATGTAAGTCAGCAGAACGGCCTGACCAACTCCTATCAGACGGGAGCGCTTGCTGTAGAGATACCTACAGCAGCGAATCCCGCTGGATCTTGTATCCCTCCCCTCACACCTTACGTGATCCAGCTCTGGTTATTACTTAGTGATAACTGCTATTTCTTATTTGGCAGTGGCAAGCTTTTCCGAAACCCAAGAACCCCCAGCCAGATGGAAGTCACGTGCCTCTGGCAGACGAGCAGCAGGGAGCAGTAAAAAGCAGCCAGGAGAAAATGAGCCGACAAACTTCCTGCGGGACATAGATGGTACCAACGTCCTTTTACTCACATGGGTACAGGTCACTCATGCTGTCGTCCGTCTCCTCTCCGTCCTCATCGCTGGACTTTGGCTCCCAGAATTCCTCTTTTCTGTAAGGCTGCCTGCTCCCGTTCATTTGGTCATCGGGGTGCTGCGTCCGCTGCTGCTTCTTCTGTCGCAAGCAGGCAGGGACGTACTCCACTCCTTCCTTCTGGCACTCCTCATCTAATAGCACGAGGGGCCGGGCAGCACTTAGCAAGGCCACCCAGTCACCTTATTCCTTTTCGTTTCCAGCTCTAGCTTATATTAAACGCAACTCAAAAGTACGGCAAGCTCCAACTCTAATATACATTCATGTAATCTACAGCGATACTACGGACCATGAAAGACGGGAAAGATGTTAACACAGGGACTGTGCTGGACGTGTGAGCCACCCCCTCTGGGGAAGTTTTAGAGCCGCTCCTCTCAAGTAAGGATGTTCCAACGTATTTGCTAGAGGCCTATTGCTCCCTACATCTGGGACCTTCCTTCCTAGCTGAGGAGCACACACAGCAACAGCAGTACATTACCGTTGATCTAAAGAAAATGTATCCCCTTCCCTCGTGCAGAGCTACTGGAATCTCAACAGCTCAGGGAAAGAAGTTGGCTGGTTGTATCTTCAGAAAAGCCACTTACATGTTTTTAGGGCCTTCTGATAGCGCTTCCCTTGGACATGACGCAGCACGTGCTCTGGAAACTTGTTGATGTGTCTGAGAGTGAGCTTGCAAAACAGCTGGTGTCTGACAGACACAGAAAGAAAGAGCCAGCGACAGAGTTTACGTATGCTATTACTTAGTAACTTTTCAATTTAAGCACTCTGCTCAGAGTTGATAAATACTTTATAAAGACTTTCCCAGTCTCCCAAAACCCATAAAGACTCAAGAACTTTGTAAAGGTTGACCACTTCATGTCTGAGATTGAACAAAGTGTGAAGCACGGCACACAAGAGGAAGAATACGTACAGATTCTTTGTGCTGGGCACTATATGGGGCTCAAACTTGCCATAGTCAAACTCTCCGGCTGTCTTCATCAGCCGCTGATACTTCTTGCCATTAGTATAAGCCTGCAGCTCCGACAGCCGACATGGCATCTCGTGGCCTGTCAGCCTGCATCTCACCTGAAGACAAGCGATGTCTGGTCAGGGAAGCCCAGGGGATTACCCCGGGCTGGGGAGGGCAGGAGAGACCTCGAGCTCCCACCAGCGTCCTCCTCCCCAGCCCTCCTCCGACTTCCACGGCGGGAGAAAAGCCTCCGGGCCAGGGAGCTCACCGGGGCCGAGCCCAGCTGCTGGGGCACCTTCCCCGGCCTGCTACCAGCCGGCCTCGTCCCCCCTCACGGCCCCCTCAGGAGACGCGGCCTCGTCGGCATCCCCTCACGAACCCCTCAGGGAGGCGCCCCCCGTCCCCCTCACGGCCCCCCTCCGGGGGCGGCCCCAGCCCTC